ACAAAACATAGATTTAACTTTTTTACAAATTTCCTGCAGCTTTATGAGGCCCCCTTGCACCCCCTGGTGGCCCGCCAGTGGGCCGTGGCCCTCACTTTGAAAAACACGAGTATTATAATAATAATAATCATTTTATTTGAAAAGCGCCTTTCAGGACACTTACAGCAGTAGACACATCATAGGAGAATTGTGTTCATATTGTGCAATATAAAGATTGCATGACATACTACAGGTTTACTGGAACTCATTGTGTAGTAGTACTTGAGTGAAAGTACAATCTCACTGTAAAAGTTAGCCTCCTTTAAGAATATTAGTAAAAATCTCAAAGTATCGGACATTTACTGCACCAAAAGTAAATTTGGATGTAAAATGTACTTAAGTATTAAAAGTAAAAGTGAGCAGTTAGAATGTTCAAAATTACTTTTATTGAAGTGATTTCACCAAAAGTTTGTCATTATGTTTGTACTTCTCATCAAGTTTAATTCACTCTGTGGGGATTGTTTTAATTTTTTTTTAATTTAATTCTTCTTTTTTTTTTACAATAACAATCCAGAAAGGAACAAAGCCAAAAATGAAACGACTTATTTCAAAAGGAGAAGTAAAAAGTCATCTGAAAAATAATGAACATGCTCAAGTAAAGTAGTATTTGTACTTTGTGACTTTACAACTCTGGGCATAAGATACAGTCAACATTTCTTAGAAAAAGTACTTTTACTTTTTGAATATTGTGAGCAGGCAGTATTTTTACTTTTACTTTATTTATTTATTTATTTATTTATTTATTTATTTATTTACTTATTTATTTATTTGGGGGGGTGATCTGGAGAGCAGTTTCCTGTTTAAAGCTCAGATGGTTGGCTGGAGTGTCAAACCATTAGATGGTGCAGTTGTGGAGGATGTGAGAGAGGAGGTAGAGGAGGAGGGTGGGCATGGTGGTGGTGGTGGTGGTGGGGGGGGGGTCTAGCCTGTACGCTGACGTCAATAAAAACAGTCATTTCCAACCAGTCTGCGCACTGACCGACCATTCAAAACATTACGCACAGCAGTGCGGCCGGACCACGCTCCACCACTGCACTGAAATCCTTTTTTTATTCTTTTTTTATTAGTATTTGTTAGGGTTTTTTTATTTTTATTTTTTATTCCTCGAGCCTGAAGATCGGAACACAGTGCGGACCCCCCCACACACAGTTTGCAGGTTTTTAAGCCCGCTGAATGCTGTGCTCAGATCTTTGGGTGTTGCGCGCCTCGTCAGCGTCATGTTGTCTCGTCGTGCCWTTTCCCAGGTCAGTTGTGCCTCTGCCCACCCCGTTTCCGCTCATATCGACCCTTCCTCTGGACAAAACGGGTTAATTATTATGCTCTTTGATTCTAAAGGGGCGGTGGAGGAACATAAGGACGTGTGGCTCATTATTTGAATTGGCTATAAATGCAGGATTTCTCTGTCCGCGCGCCATTCCCGCTGCTTCCGTTCATTAAGAGCAGATTTAATGAATATGTTTTTTTAAATCACAGTTCACCCATTGATGTTGCATTTTTGTTCCCTTCCTCGCGCTTGTCTTTTCATCTCCATCAGCCCACAGATGGGGGCGCACTCAGCCCAGTTGGGGTCTCAGATGTCCATAAAAACCCGCCTCCATCACATCCAGCCTTCAAACAGAACCTGAGTCACTAAAACTCACCGGGTTCTGAGCAGCGGCTTTTTACTTCACGTGACGGAAGGCAGAGCTCATTAATGCACCTGAGCGCTTTCTCTTTCCTATGATGATGATGATGATGATGATGATGATGATGATGGTTTGACTCGCAGGTGCAGGAGAAGATGATGAAGATGACGCTGACCTCCTGCTCTACGCTCTTAGCCTCTTTACGGTGCTGCCTTGTCTCTAATCATGTTCAAGCAGCATTGTACAGGGCTATGACAGCATAGAGAGCTGCGCTGCGCTCCCCCTCCCTCCACCCACCCAGCATCATGGCGGCCAAGAAAAATGACGTCATCTGTTCCATTAGAAACACCAAAACGKCCTGGTTGCAGGATGGCATAGTTATGGGTGCCGTTTGTAAAGTTACACAGTCAAACATTACCACCAATATCTTTGTTTTATATAACCTTTTATAAGAAAATAAGAACAGATTTATTTTTCAAAGGCAGTTTTTCACCATATGATTCATACATTTATAAATGTCATA